TCCACACTATAATCATTTCTGAATTTGATGCTTCAGAAGCTAGTACGACTTCAGACCTTTGCCCATGTTCATAAATTCGATAACCCCAATTTTCTTGATTAAAAATATTTGTAAGTGTACTATATGCATCATAACCACCAAATCTGCAAATATATTTTTGGTGATAGATTGAATATCGCTTAATATAATTTTGAAAGATTGAAACAAATTCAGATTCAGTAAGTGGTGCTGAAACTGTTTGTTGCCCAGAGTGTTTCATATGAAGCTTAAGACGCGATTGTATAAGATAAACTAATACATTCTTAATTTCACTAAGGTGAGTATCAGAAAGAATAGAAAGATTTTTAGAAGGTATATTATAGTTGAAATGTTTATAGGTTTCATGACGGCTCCATCCACTTTTTTTTAAAAATGTTTTATTTGGACAAAGTGGACATAAAAAAATTTTATCCGAAGAAATATTTATGTTTTTATTGCTGCAATGTACCCTTTGGTGATGTATTTTGAGGCCACATGGCTTTTGAATTCCTTGTTATCGCAGAAAGAGCATAAAAAACTATCAATATTATTAATATTCATTTTTTTTTTAGATCATTAAATTTATGCCAAATAAGGTGTATCGTCAGAAAGAATAGAAATTTGAACAATAGAAAGATGGGTTAAATAGTGGGAAGATAGGTTAGACGTTATGATGCAATAGTGTTATGATAGATCTGGGGGCAAAAAAATTTTTTGAGGTTTAATTTTGAATCAATTATTAATAAATTTGGTGACCGAATACTCAGATCTGGGGACCAAATATTTAGATTTGGTGACCAAAACATCTCCCAATTTCACAAATGCGCCGTAATGGAATACAGTAATTTTGGCTGCACGTGCCGCTTTGCGGCACGTGTTCATTTGCCAAATTACCGTTATTCGCCCAATAATGTATACTTATTTAGCAGTAATCTGACGGATAAATAAGTGGTATTTTGTGGTTTTCAATAAAATCGTTCTAGATTATTTATTGCATACATTTAAATAGTGATAAAATAAAGCGAATAAAACATTAAATCTTTGACATAATGATCTCATGTCATTTTTACATAAATATAATGGTATTACTGTATTAAGGCTTGCATACTACTGTACTAGCCAGAACATCAAATCAATAATAGATCACGTGCGTGCAATGCTTTTCAATGGTCGTTACTAAATTTACCAATGACTTTTATTCATGTATATTCCCGTAAACATCACGCGTCATTATAATTATTTAACAAATCGTGTTTTGCTTTGAAATAACAAAAATGATATTGCAGCTATATTATGAAGCAATAAAATCTCATTTCATAGACCATAAATTAATGATTTAATCTTTGAAATAATGAATATGAATATACAAAAAAATAAAACCCTAAACAATAATATAAATATTGTTATTTTTGGCCCTTAACATCCAACTCGAAATTTTCCTGAAATGTTTCATGCGTTACTTTATTTTTAGCCGTGGCTTTTATTTCCATCATTCCAAACCTTAATTCAAATACTACAGGACGATTTCGTCCTAATGATAGCGTTCTGGATAAAGGGATTTTTAGAGTACCAAGTTCCCGCATTCCGACATCCCTAATGTATTTGGGCCTCACTTCTTTTGTAATAAATACGCGAAGTACTGCAACTTTTTGGTCAGCATTTAATGGTTTATATTCTTTACTAAAAGCCTGGTTGACCGCAACGCGTTCTCCACGACGTGCAAGAGTGTCAAACTTCCAAATTTTATTATCATTGGTTCTAAAATATTATAAGAATTGACATTAATTATGTTAATTACGGTGAATTTACGAATGATGGAATTATTATTGATTTATAATATAATTTACCGTAGTCTAGGTGGATCATGATGATTATTAAAATCTTCTTTTACCTCCACTCCGTACGTCCATTTTAAGACTCTACTTTCGACCAAGCTCATATCTAGTCCGTATTTTACAGCGCCTTTAACGATGGCCGCTATCGGCTGATTAGGAACCGCAATAATGGGCACACGATCTTGGAATCTTTCTCGGACTCGTTTTATTAAGTATGGTGATTCACTAAATCCTCCAACCAAAAACATGGCTTTGCAATGGCGATTTGTTGCAAGATTTGCAAGATCTAACAATTGATTATGAATTAACTTGATGATTTTTTCGATTACTGGATCGAACATTTTTTTCACTGTCTCGAACTCTAATTCAATAATCCATTCATTCCTTTCCAAGTTGGTTCTTTCTGCCCCAGTAATATAGTCAACCAATGAGGGACAATCTCTATCGAGATTCAATTCAATGGTTTCAAATTCGTCGGGATCTCCATCAAAATCATTCTTTACATCCTTACAAAAAAACTCAAGAATAAGTCTTTGCAAATCACCGTAAGCATATGATCGTAGCCTTTGTAAGGCAGTAAAGCCTACTATGCGGCCCAAAAAATGTAAGAATTCTTGATCTACATATGTGCTTCCACATAAATCTCCTGTTCTTATTGTTTCTTCTTCTAATTTATTGCCTGTTTGTATCGTTCTCATTGTAAGATCGACTGTTCCACCACCGCAATCAACAACGAGAAATGTATCTACGAAAATTAACAATATTTATCATATTCGATATTAGAAATGCCTCTTGTTGCAGCAGGGAGCTAAATATAAAGCTAAGCACTGTATTGATAAATCAGTGGTCAGTCGCCTAATGATTTGTTTAACAACGTCTTTGCTTTAATGATATACAGTCAACCCAGTGATCACCATAATATCACATGACAATCATTTACCTAGATTATCGAGTCAACTCGTGGCTTAAAAAACATAGTCTTGAGTTCGATTTAAGGCTATGTTTTTTAAGCTACGAGTTGACTCGAGTCAAAACACTACACTTGGTTAACTGTTTTTAGGGATTAAGGATAGGATACTAAAATTTTGCGATGAAGGCTTTCCATCTAATCTTATGATCTACATAAGAAATTTCCTTTTTCAGGCTTGTATCACTTGCAAAGCCGCTCAAAATTTCAGAACGGGAAATAATGACCCAATCTTATTCATGTTAAGTTAAATTTTGAATACTAACCCCCTACTTTTAAATTGTGCTCCCTAATAACTGATAAGCAATGAATCGCCGCCGCCTCCGCTGTTGTTATGGAACAAGAAATTCAATAACTGCATCTCATCGTTAAATAAGATGTAAAAGTAGTACGAAATAAAGATAGTTACGTTCTGTTGTAAATTCTAGATGCGATGCAATGGATTCGTCTAATCTGTAATTAATTGTAAGCGGTAAATACAGATATAAGTTTACAAGTTATGGTTAAATTCAAAGATATAATAAAAATTTTATTTAATTACAATCCAGCTTTGTATGCACAGTCGCGCATGGTATCTTTAGCATGCGGTCCCTAATAATAATAAAAATAAAGGAAATCAAGTGTTGTTAATGACTCGATTACTTTCTGAACTTTTGACAAGTTAATAACTTACCCATTCCGCAGGCACACATAAAATCAAAAGTACTTGTGATAATTTAAGGCCTGGCCAACGCTTATCAAGCGTTTCTTCTATGACCTACATTATTTAATCCGTAACCGAACAATATTCAAGAGAACTTTTGTTAAGCTTACAAGTTACTCACCCGTTTCATTTTATTTAAATAATCACTAATAGCTTTTCTATAATCCAAATTTGGTGGTAAATATAAGTTGTCTGATGCATTATCGTCTAGAAATAATTTGAATCTTTCAGCAACATAGTGTTGCGGACGTGGTGAACGTGGTGAACCCAATTCCCTAATATTATTTCTACTACTTCTTCTTGGCTCATAAAGTAACGCGGGCCCACCCCATTTCAATACTTCGCTACAAGTACTATTATATACCAATACGGTATTTGTTTTAGGAGTACCTTCTTTTCCAGGCCTAAATTACGATAAAAATTATTTAATTTTGTAATTATATATCGTGATGATTTTAAGATTACCATCGTGCATTTATCTCAATTTCTTTGGGAGAACTCCTGTGTGCATAAGCGAAGCCGCTGTATGTCGTCCCAAAATCTTTTCATAACAGAAAATTAACTTAAATGACGCTTTAATTAATAAATCTAACAAAAATATCGAATATCAGTAAAATACCAATCGCAACGACTGCTCTTATATCTTCTGACAGAGAAGTAAATGGTGAATACGATTGAGAATATCGTTGACGACGTGAAGAACTCATGGCGGACAATTAAATTTGATAATGGATAAACGTGGCTTAAATTTATAAGAGTAGTTGAGAGTCGTACAATAAGTAATTAACTTTAAAGACTTCATATTATTCCTGTTTTATTCTTGGATTTCAATTTTTTCATTGATAAGAACTTTATATGGTTTCACCAGAGACTACTTTCAATTTCTATCAATTTCCTAATTAAAAGTTTCGATCGTCTATCGCTATGTTTTATGGGTTAACTGTTAAAATTCTCACGACAAAAAAGTGAACAATAACAAATTTTGATGCTAACTATAATAGATGGATGATTTTCCGAATATCCGGGGCTGTGTACACATCGATATAACAGATTCTTGGAAGTTTTGGAGGTTATGTAAATCTTGGAGTTTATGGAGACTATATAACTATATAAGTCATGGATGTCCTCCTCGTTATGAAACCATTTTAGATGATCGTGAAAAAAGTTTAATTAAACTTTTTAAACTGTTTGGTTCAATACCAAGATGGCAATGTTATCGCCTTTTATTCATAATGTTTGCATTGCAGATTATCCCTTAAACTGTAAGCAAATTAGGGGTAAATTTGCCCCTAATTTTTACTATAAATTTATTTTGATATCTTTTTTTAAAAATCAAGATATGTAAATAAATTTTTTTTGATAATATTTGAAATGACGATTATATTATAGTAGTATTTAATTTTATATTAGAAAAAAATTGTGTTGTTTATAAACTAATAATAGGAAATTAAAAAAAAATTAAATTAACACCATTTTTTTAAAAAAATAAAGATATTTAAATAAGAATTTTTTGATAAATTTGAAAATAAGGATTATATTATAGTAGTATTTAATTTTATATTATAAAAAAAAGTGTTGTTTATAAACTAAAAATAGATAAATTTAAAAAAAAATTAAATTTAAACAAATTATTTTTAATTAATATTAGATAAACTTTATAAATTTTAATTTAAATTTTCTAATTTTTAATAGAATATTAAATTTATATAATAGATTACAATTTTTGTTAATAAAGCTTTTATAATTTATATGTAAAAATCTGAACTTGTAATAGAAGCAAGAAATTTTTTTATAATCAGAAGCATATAAAACCTTAAAGAATTTTAAAGAAGGTTTATAGTAAAAGTTTTATAGTAAAAATTGGTTAAATAAAAACTTTAAATTTTTATTACTTAAAAATTTTTTTAATAATTTTAATTTTTTTTCTAATAAAATATATAAAATTTGTTTAAATAAGTTATTATAGATATATATAGTATACCCTATATTATTAATAATTTTTATTTTATTTAAAAAATTCCAGATGCTCTTTAAAATTCGGGTTAAATTTGTCCCGAATACAGTTTAAGGATAAACTGACTCCAGAGACTCAGGCGATGGTTTAGTTATAGAATAATTAGTGGAAATTTAATTTCGCTTGACAAAATAAACCAATATGGTGGTACTAATTCGCAAATTCTTGAATTAAAAAAAAATACCGAAGTTCATAATCAACAAAAAGTAGGAGACCTCCGTCGCCATTCTACAGAAAATCATACAGAATTCCTCAAAAAACTATGAAATTCGACTTTTCAACAAAGATTAGAATTACATGGAATTAGCATTAATTTTCCAATTTTGTCTTAAATTAGCAGTTTTTCAAAAGACAATTGAGTTCAGCAACCTTCGTATGGACTTATGCAGTGCGAAATATTTTAATAGAGCAAAGTCAGTAGAATATGAAAAATTTAAGCAATCGTATCATCAAATCGAAATGTCTTGCAATAAAATATCTAATATAAATAACGAAGCAGCAAAACTTATAGAAGAAATAAAAAATTGAAGCTCGAAGCTACAATCCCTTGACGATATCAAAGGAATCAATACAAATCAGTCAAGAGGCCGTTTTGAACATACAATTATTCAACAAAAATGTGACGATAAAGCAATGAAAGTTTTTTTTTTGGTCCGCTGTCCTACAAAGACGTATTCTTGAGAATATATACAACCCCACGAAAAATAATGGCGAAGATTTTTTATTTTTTTAAAAAGTTCATATAACAACTCTTGTTCAAATTTTATGATTAAGCTATAATAAGATTGAGTTCATATATTTAAAAAAACATTGTTAACAATAGTTTTGCAAACTGGTGACCCTCTAAAAAAAAAAACAAAAAATCATTTAAAAATATCAATTTCACGAAGTTAATAATAAGCAAATTTCTCTTAGTGCATTAATCTTTGTGAAAATTTATACTAACCATAAAATTTTCATAAAAATCAGTTAAACTTTTTATAAGCAATTAGCTATTTAAATATATTGTTTCAAAAGTTTTGAAAATGCTATTTGAATTCGAGATTATGCTCATGTATTAGGCCACGCAAAGTTAATTTTTCGTTTTGCATAACATGGAATCTAAAAATTTGGGTCGGCGGGCGGGTTTTTT